TGATAGTAGGTATTTAGTTTATTCATTAACTCCAAGAGTATTAGTTGTTGGAGATTCTGTATCCACTATCCTCTGATAAAAACTAGAAACTGGAAAATAGCTTTATAAAACATTCAACAATCAACAACCATAAGCACAAATTTGCAACCACAAGCTTTAAAGTTACAAAATACTACAAATTTTACGAAGATTAAAGAGTTAAAAGTCAATGTCAAGAAGTGTCAATACAACACCCTAGATTTGTTGTCACAAGTTCGCCTAAACTTTCTCAAATCAACACCCAAAAGATACAAATGAGCAACCAAGCATCAACCAATACATAAACCGAAGAACTTCCAAACATAAAATTTCTGAGAAACTTCCAAAAAATAAAATTTCCGCCTGTTTTTTTTTTTTGATTCATTTGATCCAAAAAAAGCCATGGATGTGGCTGAAAAATGATGTTTGAGGGGTTTAATACCCTCGCAAACCTTTTCCCCCCTTTTTCAAGGGTCAAAAAGTCCTAAATACCCCTACCCGAGGGGTTCATTTTCATAAAATTGGTGGACCACATATGTGGGATTATGCGTCCTATGCGGTATGCGGCCGCATATGCAGAGAGATATGGCGTGTATGTGGACGCATCTCTCTCGAACGCATATGTGGGTATTTGCGATGCACTGCCCAGCGCATAACGCCTGATGCGGCCGCACATGCGGTGATGTGGCTGCATTTTAAAACACTGAATGTGATGCACCCGCATGTGTGGTGCATCACTTGCATATAGAGCTGCATTGCCTACATCCATGACGAGCGATGCACCCACATATGTACTCTGTGCTCGTGGGTGAAAAATAAGCCCATGAGCATGGGTAAAATTGTTCTTTTCCCACTCAAAAATGAAGGGAAGGGTTTGAGAATCATTATACATGGTTCTAAGATGATTAAAAAAAACAATTTCGAACTTTTGATTTTTTTATTGAGTCTAAAGTTTTGGAAAACATTAAGAGGTTCTTTTGATTATCCCTTGAGATTGATTTGGGCATCATTTGGAAGGTATATCAGCAATGATTCTCCAACTAATAGATGGTTTTCAATGGCTGGGTAGAAATCAAAATTCCTTTGGTTTATGATGAGTTTTCCATTTTCGAATGCTTTTTTCTTTGGGGCAATGCTTTCAGCATCATCAAGTAATAAGAATTCTGCATTTGTACACTAAATGTAAAAACCTTAAGGACTGAAATTCTGTTGTTTGTACTCTTTTTGGGAATACTTATATGGGTAGATATTTTCCTTGCCGAAGGAACATCTAGCCGGTATTACCAGGATTGTTAAAGCATTCCCACAAGCAACTGATGAGATTGGGAAGAGAGATTAAGGCAAATACATAGATAGCCAAGAAAAGGCAATAGAAAAAAAGAAAATCAGACAAAAATAATTGATAGAGGAAATTCAAGTATTTGAAGACTTGTCTAATTGAGAGTTGAGACTTGATTATTTTTGTTTCTTTTGTATGTCATAAGCTTTGGTCTTTTGCTCTTTAGAGTTGAAACTTTCAAGTTTGGTGTTCTGGTTATTTTATATTAGATGGAATGGATTGCTATGTTTTAAATGTTGATTGTGTTGGACATATAAGCTACTAAAGATTAGAAGTTAGAACAAAAAACTCTATTACTCTTTGTTAGGCTATCAGGGGACTCAGAGCCTCAGATAGTTAATATAGTATAGATATTGAATACTCAGAGTCTTAGATAGTTAATATAGTATAGATATTGAATAAATTGAGATACATAATGTTACATAAATCACATTTATGTTTTTTATATGCATTCTTATATATTTTGTATTTTTATTTTTATTTTTAAATTTATTGACTGCATTAGGGGTGATGCACCTGCGTTTAGCTGCATCATCGCATCGCACCTCTGATTGTATCGGGTTCACATCCCGCTCACTTGCACACATGCACATATGCACATGCACATCTGTAGTGACACTACTCAAACATAAATATCAGTTATTCTAGGTATACCCTGCTTCAATTTCTTTAAAATGAGTTGAACTAGGACAAAATATATGAAATGTAAGTTTAGCAATAATTGGAGAAAAAACGAGGAATTAGTTATGATTGATGGCCAAGAAGTACCTAAAAGAAATGTTTTTAGTATCTTAGGTCGATAATCCATGAGAAAGGAGAGATCAAGGAAGATGTTGCTCATAAAATAAGATCTTGGCAAATTGAGTGGAGATGTGCTTCTGGGGTTTTATACGATCGTCACATACCAATGAAACTAAAGAGGAAGTTCTATAGGACAACTGTTAGACTAACTATGCTTCTTGGGGCGGAATATCGGATACATGAAATAATATATCCATAGAATGAGTATAGCTGAGATGAAGATGTTGAGATGGATGAATGGCAAGACAAGGACGGATAAAATTCGGAATGAATATGTTCAAGGGAACTTAGGAGTAGCTCCAATAGGCGATACAATTATAGAAACTAGACTTAGGTGGTCTGGTCATGACTCATGTGCAGTGTCAACCTATAATAGCACCGGTTAGGAGGAGTGAGTTGTTTGAAGTGGAAGGATTTAAAAGGGTACTGGTTAGGAGGAGTGAGTTGTTTGAAGTGGAAGGCTTTAAAAGGGCAAGGGGAAGGCCCCAAAGGACATGGATGGAAGTAGCAAGAAAAGATGTGGTGACTTATAGTCTAACTGAGCGTATGACCCTTGGTAGAGCGAAATGACGGAACAAGATTGTTGTAGCCGATCCCAAATAGTTGGAATAAGTCTTGGACAATGATGATGATGATGATGATTCTGCCTCCATTTACTTTTTTGATTGTTAACATACTATCCATTAACAAAATTAAGTTCATTTGTTTGATGAACACTAACAAACAAAATAGCTAAATACAAGGGGTGGTTGGGACTCCATCCCTTGCCAACTGGTCTGCCATTTCACTGGCCTACATCCAAGGGTCTAATTTTATAGGCAAGTGCAATGATCTCCTCAACAATGTTGATGAGAAGCGATGGGCAAACTCACTTCCTGTTCCATAAAGTGACATTTCTGGATCATCCTCAATATCTAGGGACACCCATCTTGGATCTTGGTCTTGCAATCTAATCAGCAAATCTCGTGCTTCTGCCTCATTTTAGTGTCATTAGGGTTCTTCCTCTGTGGTCATGCATGACGCCACCTACCCCAGCTGGTCCCTGAATATGCACTGAAGTTCCGTTGAAGTTCAGGTTTACTGTACCCTCACCTGGAGTGGTCCAATTAGCATGTCTTGAGACAGGAAATAAGGTGTCCCTTAGAGATCCCTTCCATTAATTTTCAAGTTCAGTGCTTGAGTAATCCATAATTCTCTTCTTGCTCTAGTATGAGATTACATTGGATTTTATCTTGTCATTCAACCAACCGACCTCATCGTGTTTGGAGAAGATTTGGTTTTGGCTTCCAACCAAATTGACCAGTAAAGGGAGAATGTTCACTGGTCAATCTCCACAGCACAAGACCAGGCTTTGGAAAAGGAGGGGCATACTAATATGTAAAGAAAATCCTCTATTGATTCAGGTATATCCCATTGAAGTCCAAATAAGTTTGAGGCATAGGACCAGATCGTAATAGTTATTTCCCTATTGACTTACCCAACAACAAAAAAAAATGATGCATTTAAGTATTTAACACTGAGCCTCATTTTTGCACATTATACACGTTGGAAATAGCCATCCCCTGTTTGTGATGTGATCAATGGTCAGCTCTTTGTTTAAGGTCACAAACCAACCAAAGGCTTGAATTTTGGAAGGGTCTGGGATAGCCCAGAACCTTCATGTAATGGCATACTGCTGCCAATTTTCACATGTAAAACCGTGTCTCATCCTACACCATTGGACACAAACATTCTCATGCTGCGACATCCACATATGAGTTTCTAAACTTTCTATAGCTACCACCACTAGAGTTAACCTATATGTGCAGTTCTCAGCTATGCATGTATAAGTTGTTTGTCTACTATGTTTGCATTAATGCGCTTCTGCATGGTTGTATATTGTGCATTATCTGTTAAATTTCAATTTTCAAGTCGAAGAGCTTGCTTACTGTTTAAATTGTTGTGGTTGTTACCATATTTATAACCTTCATGCTGTAAACCTTTGCCCTTTATTTCCTTGAGGAGAATGCTATCTCTTCTATTTTTAGGTTTAATAGTATGTTGCATGTTTGAGAAGAGTTGTATCATAAATCAGGGATGTGGTGTGTGGAGTAGCATATTTGTGCCTTATTTTCCACTTGTATTGATACTTACTTTTTGTGCATTTGTTTTTTTTCTTTATTGTTAACTGAGAGAATAATGAAAGTGCTTTTCATTACTTAGCTCATTTCACATTATTTTTTCTCTTTAATGTGACCTCATTTAGGCATTTAGCCACTTTGATCGCTTCCTTTAGGGAATCTTGGTTAATATGCTGTGATTTAAATGTAGTCATTGCTTATATTGGGAAGGAAGTTTCTTTATTTTTTATTCTTGCCCTCAAGTTTCTTCCCCTCGCATTGAGATGGGGGTTTTCCACAAGTATCTATCAGTGCTGAGTAGAATGAATTTTAACTGCATTGAGATAGGCTGTGTTACTGTGCATGTATGTCCTTTATATTGTACATTGGTATTTGGGGTAGCGGTCTTCCATTCCTACTATTATTTTGTAATATATTACATGTGTCATAGAGTTACTGCATTTCCTGTGACTGATGTAGTGCAGTTTCGCTCTAATCTGCCTACCGAGAATGTGTCCATCATTCTACTACTTTTAATATGGCAAATATGTATGCAGTTTGAGCTTATTTGAGCTATTTACTGCATTTCTTGTTATCAATATATGGGGTCTCACTGTAATTGCACTTCTAAGACTCTCTAATGCTTTTTACGCATGACAAACATTAATGCTACTTGAGCTTTCAAATATGGAAACTCATACATCGTGAATTGTAAAAGGAATTTTTTTTCTCCATGATTGTAGGATGTTACTGTGATTTTTAGGAGGAGGGGAGGTGATGATCTTGTTCAGAGTCATCACAAGTGGGTGACGACTGTGTATTCTACACCCGACGTTATAAACATGAGTTTTTATCCCATCACTTCTCTATTGGATGGGGTGCCTGGAGCAAAGCATCTAACCCGAGCAATTGAGCTTTACTTGGAGTGTAAGAGCTACATCTTCACATTTCTCATAATTTTATTTTTTCAGGCAAATTGAATAAGAACATGAGTATCATCATGCATTTTTGTTTATGGGAAGTTGGATTTGATGTTTGATGATCTAAATATTCTAAAATGGGAAGTGAAGTTTGAAATTGACATGTTTCCGTAGTTCTGTTTCAAAGGGAATATTTCGTTAGAAAAGATGGCTGGTGAAAGTACTCTAGAAGTTCAAGATGTACTGTGACGTCCTGACAGTATTAGAGAATAGGGTTATTAGGAAATTATCCTATTATACCTTTTAGGGAATCAAGTGTCATTAATTTGCACCAAAAAACAAAAATAAAATAAAATTGCACCAAACAATATGCTAAGACTTTGCTCAACCTGTATTTATTGACATGGACCTCAAGGTAGTCGGGTGCTAAATGCTGTTTTAATTGGATGCGGTCGATCTGGTGATTCTTCATAATTTCTCTGTTCCATTTGCAAAGAGCGAAGGAAATCTTGACCTTATTTTTTGGACAGGAAAAGACGTGCTATTTTTGCTAGATCATAATGGTAAATATTTGGCTTCGAGATCAACCATATTGATATGGTTTATAGTAATCAACCATTGCTGTTTAATTAAGTCTGTTCTTCATAATCGGCCCAAAGAGAGTTCTTGTCTTAGTGTCAATTCATCTGTTTGATAGTGTGACCAGTGAAGGGGCTCTTTCCTTGCACGGATAGGAGAGCATCGCATAGGTGGACTTGTCTACGAAAGACAGCTGTGGATAAGTGGCATTTCTTGCACAAATTTCGCAGAACACTTCTCATTCATGTAGGGCCAAATGCCTCATTAAAATCCCGGAAGGCTTATATGCACAGCCAGACAAGGCCTATTATTATTAACTTATAGTACTAAATGCATGTTGGTTCCATGGGATCCCATGATACACTTTGTTCCCTGTCCCAAGCACCTAGTTAGGGGAATTTTCTATATCTGAAATTTTTTTTCTGTATCTGAAAATTTTCATATCATTAGCTCACCTTGTAAACAGTTTAAAAGAAAGAAATGATTCTAGCTCATAAAACCTTATCGACCATCAAATTGACGGTCCATAGATAATCTATGGGGTGGACTCCATATTGTATTTTTTTTTTTTTTTTTTTTTTTAAGTTTATCTGAGATAAACGGTGATGATTGGAGAGTTTTGGGGTCAAACAAATGCTCCCGACATGTTTCATCCTGAAGGGAAAAGTGTACAAGGTGGTCATGAGGGACTTCAAAATCTTTTTCCTATTTAGTGAACTCCCTTAAGTTGATAGCTGAATATCGGGGAAGTTTTCTCCTGATTGGTGTCATTCTTTTCCCTTAATTCTTCACACTGCTTATCATCATTATCGTCAAAGCCTTTTCTTAACTAATTGGGGGTTGGCTACATGAATTATGGTCTGTCATTTTGCTATATTAAGGGCCATACCTTAAGTGGGGCCATACGTCCCCATATCTGTTCTCATTACTTCCAACCATGTCCTTTTAGGCCTACCCCTTGCCCTTTTTGAGCCTTCCACTTGAGCTAACTCGCACCTCCTAACAGGTGCTGTATTGGGTCTGCACCATACATTGCCAGCCCACCTAAGTTGACTTTCTATCATCGTATCGCCTATTGTTGCCACACCAAAATTTTCTCAAATGTATTCATTTCGAATTCTATCTCTTCTTGTCTTGCTATTCATCAAACTCAACATCCTCATGTCCGCTACACTATTACATGGGTATAGTGTTTTTTTGACCGCCCAACCTTCCGCCCCATAGAGTGAATCTAGTCTGACAATTGTCCTATAGAACTTACCCTTCAGCTTGAATGTGCTTAATATTCTTCACACGTCTATTGGGCTGAAAATTGTTTTAATCTATACCTGTAATTTCGGTTTCTCGCCCCCAAACACACTTACACACAATACAGCACAACGCAGAGCACAAAAAAGAATTAAGTTCTGGGACTCTTCAGTACAACAAAAACTTTTTTTAATCTATTTCCCATTTTCTTTGTTTAACTTTCTCAGATAAGCCTCCTCTTGAGGAGCTGCAATATTTCTTGGAATTTCAAATTCCACGTGCATGGGCTCCATCACAAGGGAATTTTCCTGGAGTTCAACGAAAGGAACCTGTTTGCCCACATCTGCAGTTTAGCTTAATGGGTCCAAAGCTTTACGTTAGCGCAGAGCAGGTAGTATTCTTTCTTTATTTAGTGGCAGACATTATTATTTTCCTTTCAATTGTTGGATACATGACTGTTGTAGTTTTGGAGAATTTATGAATATAACTGAACTACTATGAAATGATTTGGAATGCAGAAGGTGTGAAATTTCAGGGACATCTTGCTTCTAAAGCATTTATATACTTGTTTGCTGTTTTATACTTGCTAGTTATATTCTCTGTCAGGTCATTTGTTATCATGTGCACCTTAGCGAATCAATTGCTCTGGCATAAGGAGTTGTCTCTATAACACCCTTATAATTATCATTTCTGACATCTTCCAACAATTTGCATCTTACAATCTCCTCAGGTAGATAGTAATTTTACATCACAAAAATTGTCTGATCACTTTAATAAAGAAATATAGGTAATCAATGTAAGAATTTGAAATATAGGTAATAGATGTAAGAATTTTTTAGAAGTATCGGTATATCTTGATATCTTTTTAGATGATAATGAGTATGGTTTTTTACTAATACATAACATGCTTAACCCATGCTTTTCCTTGCAATTAAATGTTATCCACATAAAGAGCAAATAAGAAAAATATCTACTTTCACTTTCTTATGATAATTGCATTATTGTGAAACCCAATAAACTATTCTAACTAAAATTTTCATCCACTCTTAATAAATACTTCTGATTGCTTTATGCACATAATCTCCATCCAAGAAGTTTGCTTAATGTCCATTCGATGCAATTTGAGATCAAGGCTATTAGCAGTAGGAAATCAGATATAGATAGGGGTGCTAATAGAGTACTGTTTGCTATTAATTCAAGGATCGTAATGAATTGGTCTGCTTCCTTTCTCCGAATTGAATAATTAGGCAATGAGGCATTCTTTGTGTCCTGCAAAAAATTAAACTTATTGAGATAAAAAAGAATGATTTTGAATGCCTTGTGTGCTAATGGCACCTTCATTGCCCTTGACCTGAAAGTACAAGGTGCCGAAGAGCTCAAGGTCTTTCACCCCATCAGCCTCATAAACAGCTCCTATAAAAGACTCTCTAAGGTTCTAGTATCTCGCCTTAGAGAATTTCTAGGCTCAGTCATTTTCCCCCCAGCAAGGGGCTTTTGTTAAGGATCGCCAAATCCTAGATGGAGCCTTGATTGCCCATGAATGTATCCACTCGAGGCATCTAGCCAAAACCGCCTATGATCATGTTTACTGGGCCATTCTCGATGATACTCTTGCTCGTATGGGCTTTGGGAACTATTGGAGAAAGTGGATCTATTGCAGTATCTCAAACCCCCACTTCTTGGTCTTCATAAATGGATCTCCCAGAAGCTACTTCCCCTCATCAAGGGGTCTCAAGCAAAGAGACTGCCTTTCCCCCTTTTTCTTCGCCATTGTAGCCGAAGTTTTCACTCTCTCCATCACCCCCTTGTTTCAGTCTGGGCTGCTGCATGGGTTCAATAATGGGCCCAATGGTCCTTCAAATACCCACTTACAGTACGCAGATGACACCCTTGCCTTTTGCAATGCCTCACCAATGGAGGTCAACTCCCTTCTACTCACCAGGTCACCCTAGATTTGGCGGAGAAATGGGGATGCCAAAACGGAAAACCTCCACTCAACCTACCTTGGCCTGCCTATGTTCATTGGCAGTCCCAAACTTAGATCGTGGGCACATATTGTAGATTCGCAGCTTGGAAGGGCTATTTTCTATCCTTGGCAGGAAGAGCAACCCTTATAAAAGCCACACTGTCCAATATCCCCTTTTACCTCATGTTGCTCTTCAGAATGCCAGTGGCAGTTAGTTCCTGGCTTGAACACCTTATGAACAATATCCTGTGGGCTAGCGACGGAGATAAACACAAAATTCACCTTATTTCTTGGGACAGGGTTTGCACGCCTCGTCACCAAGGGGGACTCGGCATATGCAGTCTTAGTGACAAACAATTTGGCCCTCCTGGGCAAGCGGTGACGGCAATATGCAACTCAAGGTAATCACTTGTGGTTACAGGTCCTTTGCCACAAGTACCACCTTGATTCCCCTTCTTGGCTTCCAAATTGTCGATCCAACAATAGGGCCTCGGCAGTTTGGAGATCTCTTCTAAGTGTATTAAACCTCTTCAAAGATGACACCTGTCTCCAACCTTGGGAGGGCAATCGAGTGAGATTTTTGCTTGACCTTTGGATTGGACATGCCTCACTCAAAGACCTCGTCCCCTCTCTCTACCACTTCGCCTTAGACCGCCAAGCCTTTGTTGCCAAGCTCTTCGTTTCCTAGCGGCCAGCAGGAGCATGGAGCCACATGTTCAGGAGACAACCCTTAGACATTGAACTCCAAGAATTCCTTGACCTCTCTGCCCTACTCTCAACTACCTTCCTCTCCTCTCAGGGTGGGGATAGGCTCATATGGTGCCCAGCCAAATCCGGGATCTTATCTGTCTCCTCCTATCACAAACTTATTCAGCCCCCCATCTTTCCCCTTACTTCTGTATCCATCACTGCCAAGGCCTGGTCCTCCTTTGCTCCTCCTAAGATTCAAGTGTTCAATTGGGTCGCACTCCATCAGCGTGTCCTCACAATAGACCAGCTAAAAAGAAGAGGCCTGCCTATCCCCAAGCGATGCATTATGTGTCCGCAAGTAGAGGAAACAAACGCCCACTTATTTATTCATTGTTCGGTCGCTAACTACTTGTGGGGTGCCCTCCTCCAAATGTTCAATTGGCAACGGGTGACCCCTCAGAAGATTCCCCTCCTCTTCTCTCTTCAGCCCTAACCCTGGTCCAAATCAGGAATCCTCCTGTGGAAAGCCTCCATGACAGCCCTTCTATGGACAGTGTGGAACGAGAGAAACCATACGATCTTTCGAGGAAGAAGACTCGGCTGCCTTAAACCACAAGCGGTTCAAAGGCCTCCCCTCATTGGCATTCCACTTGGACTGGCTGACACTACACGACCGCCACCCTCGCATCCCACGTGCATCTCTTAGGAGACCACCCAAACTAGGCCTCGTCAAGCTCAACTTCGATGGTTGTTCTCTAGGCAACCCTGGACCTGCAGGCATTGGAGGACTGTTTAGGAATCACAAAGGTACAATTCGGGCCTTATTTAAAGCATAATGGTCATTTCGACTCTCACACGGCAGAGACCTTAGCTCTCCTCAAGGGTCTTAAAACTCTTTGACCAGATAGTTGGAGGAGATTCCAAAAATGTAATCTCCTGGGCTTCTGGTTTTGCACTCTGCCTTTGGAACCTGGCACACATCTTCGACGAGATTGTTCACCTCTGTAGGGGTCTAACCATCTCATGGAGGCATATATAGCACGAGCGCAACTCCAAAGCCGACACCCTCGCAAAAGATCGCGTCGCAAGCTCTAGCGGCTGAGTATTTTTTTGTAGAGTCAGTTCATCTCTTACAGTTGGGGTTTAAGCCCCATCCCTCCCTCACATCGACACCTCAGATTTTCTTTCTCTCGTATCATATCAAATATTTGTAAACTCTATCTGCTCATCCAAAATTAACCAACTATAATATTATATACTAAAATTGAAATTATTACTTTATATTTTATAGTTATTTTACTATACAAATAAAAATAAATTTAAACTGTTTTATGATAACATCTAATTTAAAAAAATATTAGTTACAACTATAACAAAAACTAATACATTATGTCATTTAAATATAACTAAATTAATAAATAAAATGCAAGATTTGGTTATTAATGTATAATTATTAAGTATAATATTATTGTATTACATCAAACATGATTCAAAAAAATATTGGAAAACACTTCCATATCATAAGATTAAAGATAAATATAAAACCCCTTGTAAATTTTGATGTTGTGAATCTTAAAAAATAAAAATGATTTTTTTACTAAAAAATGAAAATAATAAAATAAAAATTTGAGAAAATTTACAAAATGGAAAAAGATTGAATCACACACCATATGCATCAAAAGGCCCACATTTATTGAGAAAATAATAATATTTAAAACATGAATTTTCAAAATCCCCAAAACCAGTTTGCATTATGGCTCAAAATATAAGCTTGTAATCATATTTTAATGAAAAATGAAAAACAAATAAATAAATTTATGTGTGCATGAGTTATAGTTATTTACAAAGTTTATGCTTCTATTCGCTCCATTTATTCACCTGTAGAAGTGGTAGAGACGTCTCATTTAGTGACCTATAGGAGTGGTAGAGATGCCTCCATTTAGTCACCCCACAGAAATCGTAGTGATGTGAAGTAGGACTTGTCCCACATCGAAAAAATCTAAGGCATGCAAAGCCTTCATAAAATAAATATCACACTCATCCCTAAAGCAATGACTTGCATGCATGAGTTGGAAGTGCACAAAGATGAGGTGTCACTAATAAAGCCAGCACTTTGACATGTGATGATAGACCAAAAGGTGGGTGGCCCACAATGCCCTTTTTGTCGAAATAACAGAGAAAAAATTAACAAGGAAAATAAAAAAAACAAGTACATTTTTAAAACAATGTTAGACTTATGAACCGGTGATGTGTCCGGTTTTCTCTGACAGAACCGATCCGACCCGACTGGTTCTGAGGAGATTCGTCCAGATCCCATACATTTTGAGGGATCCACATTGCCATCAATGATTCCCAATCTGGATCGGGAGATTCCGATCGAGATCGTCGAAACCTTGTTTAATACACAAATTAACATATTAAAAAAAAAAGAATGATTGTCAGTGTACCTAATTTAGTATATGTTTTGAGAGATAAGTGAGGGACACAATGACTAGAGTACCCTTATAATATGCTAAGTACATTTACATCCTTTACAATAGGTATCCATGAAAAATGTACTAATGATATGACATGAACTACAATAGAAATTACACTACTTTCAAAACTTCCCCGCAAAATGGGTGATAGATGCCATCGTGCTTAAACAAAAAAATAATAAAATAGAAATAAATATAAAAATAAAAGTAAAAATAAATAGGTATTATTTGAAAAGGCCTTTAGAAGCATATCAGCCATTTGGATCAATTTGCTATTATTTGGTCTCATCTCGCACATTCTTTTATATATTTACCATGTGTTGTACAAGTGGTTGAATTAGTACTTATAATTAATATTTATTGATATGCGATGAGGATAAGGCTCAGATGATGATTATGATTATGATGATGATGAATTAGTATTTACTGCTATGTGATAATTACTCTTTAGTTCCTTCTAAACCTAATAACCACTCTTTTTTTCTTACTATTTTTTTTAGTGATGCGTTCTTGTCTTCCTCTTGTATCACAAATCCCCATCTAATTTATCATCTTTGTTCCTCTATTCACTTTCTGCAACAATCCAGTAGTTGTGAACAATGGTTTAAAAAGCTGATCAGTGACCCGGATCGGGGACCTCAAAAACCGATCCGGATCGGCGAATCGGCGATTCGGATCAGGAATCGGCTGAATCAGTCAGATTAAAGCTTCAAAAAAATCCGAAAAAATTATTAAAATTCATTATAAATATTGTTTTTGAGGAATTCAATAAGAAATAAGGGTACTCTATTAAGAATTTTCATTTCTTCGCATGAATATGCGAATATTGATATGTTCTTTCCCTGCATGAACTACTATTTACCATTTAATTTACATCACACAAAAAGATAAACATAGAATTATCATGGAATAAGTACATCAACATACATGGACTACAATAAAACATACAATTAGTAACATACGATCTAAAAATAAAATGACAGACGACGTCGTTCTTCTTCTTGGTCACGCTGGTGCCATTGATTGAATTTGTTTGACAATTCATTGATTCGATCTAAAAACGAATCATCGATATTAGCAGGCGTCTGATTATACCCAAATCCCTGAGTGTTAGTGTTCTGTTGTGTTCCCAATCCAAAATCCCCGAAGCTTGTCTATCCTTCATGCTCATCTACACTGTCGTGCTCATCCCTATCCTGTTGCTGTTGGGACTCGATATGTGAATAATATGGCTGGGATAGGGTGGCCTCCGAATCATCATCTCTCTCATTTTCCCTTAGACCCCTTTCTCGCTCTCCCTCATTAGATGCAATATGTATTTTCCTCACGATAATACAATTTAACAACATGTATTTTTTGCGTTCAAAATTTTAAAAATTGAAAATACATTTTTAATGCAAAACTACATTAAAAATATAATACAGTTTTGCATTAGAAATATAATAACGTATATGTTTTTGCATAAATATTCTATCAACATGCAATTTTTTCAACAAAAACTTTAACAATAAAAATTAAAAATATGGTTTAATACCTCATGATAATTAAAACCTGGTCACTATTTTCACATCTTTTCGGAAAATCACGATTTTTCAAAAAAAATCGATCATGTACTAAAAAAAATAAACAAAAAAAAACAATTCTTCACAGAGCCACCTAACATCAATCATTCCAACTCAAAAATGCATTAACAACAAATTAAAAAAATACAGTTTTGCATTAAAAATATAATAACATGCATTTTTTGGCATAAATAATCTATCAACATACAATTTTTTCAAAAAAAAATTTAACAATAAAAATTTAAAATATGGTTTAATACCTCATGATAATCAAAACCTGGTCACTATTTTCACATCTTTTCGGAAAATCACGATTTTTCAAAAAAAATCGATCATGTATTAAAAAAAAAACAAATAAAAACAATTCTTCATAGAGCCGCCTAACATCAGTCATTCCAACTCAAAAATGCATTAACAACAAATTAAAAAAAATACAGTTTTGAATTAAAAATATAATAACATGCATTTTTTTGCATAAATAATCTATCAACATACAATTTTTTCAACAAAAAATTTAACAATAAAAATTAAAAATATGGCTTAATACCTCATGATAATCAAAACCTGGTCACGATTTTCATATCTTTTGGGAAAATCATCATTTTTCAAAAAATTCAATCATGGATAAAAAAAAATAAAATAAAGTACAGCAAACTCAAACAATAAAAATTAAAAATATGGTTTAATACCTCATGATAATCAAAACGTTGTCACGATTTTTACATCTTTTCGGAAAATCACAGATTTTCAAAATATTAGATCATGGATTACCAAAAAAAAAAAAAGAAAAAAAAAAATGAAAAAAAAAAAAGAAAAAAATTAGAAGAAATCTGTTTTTGACAAAGCCACCTTACATCAGCCATTTCCACTAAAAAATCCACCTCCAAATGAATAAATTACATCCAATTGAGTACATGTTTTGATAAACAACACTATAAGGAATCAAACCCCTAAATTATGAACACATTATCATCAATAAATCAAATCAAATAAATTAAATTGAGCAAAAAAAAAAAAACCGCAGTTCTTCGCAGACAACAGTCATTGAATCTAATAAATGAAGCACAAATTGATTAAATATTGATTAAATCAGATCAAATTGAACACATCTGACCATAATGATTCAAAACCCTAGAAATCGAACACATTATTTGTAATGTATCGTGAACAATAGATCGAAAGGCGAAAAAAAAAAACAGCAGAATTTTTTTTTCACAAACATCACTGTGTTCTTCTAAAAACTTAGGCTGTAATTGAGTAAATTAAATAAAATTGAATATGGTAAATGATATAAGACACGATAAAGATTTAAAGTCCTACAAATTTAATTGATTATTTTCAAAATATGAACTGAAATTGATCAAATGGCGGAAACAAAAAAAAAACGCAGAGTTCTTACCTGGTTTCATGAACCCGTGGCTTCAATCTCCAAATTAATCTGTTTTTCTCAAAGATAATCACAAATTTGTAACAGAAATTTCTAATGAACACATTTATGATCAATATGCTTCAAACTTTTCACAGATTCATGTCCTATTTGGCATGAAACAAAACGAAAAGCGGAAAGCCTAAAACCCGTAACTTTCATGATCCAAAAACTTGAAATTTTTCCATCATTTAATGCATGAAAAAGCTGAAAAAAGCTGCATAAAGCTTGAATATTCGATCACATGGCAAAAAAAGGAAGAAAAATGATAAAAAACAGACAAAATTTGAAGAAACTCGTGAAGAACACTGTGCAGCTCGTGTTCTTCACAGGACTCGCCGATTCGGTGCAGTGAATCGGCGATTCACTGTATAGAATCGCCCGGTTCTCTCTGGAATCGGGCGATTCCGTGTAAAACATCGAAACCGGCACGGACTGTGCCGATTTTCGAGTCGAACCGGGCGAGTCCTGTTCGACTCGGCGTTTTTTAAAACACTGGTTGTGAAGATCAACTATAAGACAAGTAGTAATGAAGAAATTCAACACTCTGTTCCTGATGTGGAGTCCTAACCTTTTGGATGATGGAATTTTCATTATTCACCCTGAAAGCAATATTTGATCCAATGGAAATGGTTTGTGTGAGAATAGGATTAGACCTTCTGGAATGCTCTGCATATTTCTTGCTGACTTAGAACTTTGGTGAAACCTGGATGATCTAGTCTATTATGAAAAGAGATAGTCAACTCTGAAAGCACTAAAGGGACACATTCAATTTTTACTATGTTTGTCTATATTTATAAATTGAGGATAATTAATGGGTATTTCCTTCTCAAATTTCTTTCCTTTGCCCTTTCTCTTATGGCTTATTTCTTGGGGATATCAGTATGATATAATATGGAATATGCCACAATATGGATATCATGTTTGAACTGGAAGTGTTTGTTTACTAGGTTCTCTTATACTTATTTTCCTGGATATTTGGAATAAGGATTGGCCAATGTTTGCTGAAATATCTCTATTTGAGAGCAATATCCTGCTTTGCTCTGTTGTCTGTTGAAATGGCCAATGGATGGGTCAACATCCATGTTATGGCAGATGTTAGTTCCTGAATTTGCTGAACTGGAACAGGAGAGTGAATAGTTATTTTTAAAAGAATTATTTGGAACTCTCATATAAAGAATTATTTAGAACTCCCATATAGACCTACTTTCTGTTGAATTTGGTTGGTATGCTTAAATGTATATTTGCAGAGGAAGGCAAAAATCTGTTCTTTTCCTTAATTCTTTCCTTGTTTATTAGAGGAAGAGTTTTCTAATAGACACATTCCAGATGGACTTGTCTATTTGCTAAACCTCAATAAATAATTTATTGGCATATATTTTCAGTATGAGAAATATTATACCATCTTTTTCTTGGCTAAAGCAAGATCATTTTACCAAGCTCTTGATACATACAGGTCTCAGTAGGGCGCAAGTCTGTGACTGGCCTCCGCCTTTCCCTAGAAGGGATCAAGCAAAACCGGCTCTCCATCCACCTTCAACACCTCATCTCACTCCCAAAGATACTTGAACCCCATTGGGGCCCACACATGGCCATTGGGCCTCCCAAATGGCACGGCCCAGAAGAGCAAGACAGCCGTTGGTTTGAGCCCATCAAATGGAAGAACTTCTCTCATGTGAGCACAGCACCCATAGAGAACACCGAGACATGCATAGGTGACCTCTCTGGGGTCCACATAGTAACTGGGGCCCAGCTTGGAGTGTGGGATTTTGGTGCCATGAAAGTGTTGCACTTGAAACTCTTGTTTTCTAGGGTACCAGGCTGTACTATTAGGAGATCAGTTTGGGATCGTAGCCCTTCTAAAAGCATGAAGTCCGAGTCCTTGAGTCCTGAGGATGCTTCTTCTTCGTCTGATGGCAAGAAGTTGGAGAATTCGGATGGACAATTTAGGAAATTGGTGAAATATGTGGATCTTTCAGAGATGACCAAAGGGCCACAAGATATGCCAGGGCATTGGCTGGTAACAGGGGCGAAGCTTGGTGTCGAGAAGGGGAAGATTGTCTTGCGTGTAAAGTACTCGTTGCTCAACTACTGAGATTGGGTTTCCTGGGTGTTTTCTTGTTTCTGTTCTGTTATATCTTTAATTTTATCTTATTTCCATTCATTTTCCTTTTGGGGTGGTTTTGGTGGTATGTCCAAATCATTCTTTTCTCACGGTTTACGAGTTTGTTTTGTAAATTCTTCTAGTGATTGATTGACGTCATGAGTTTGTGTTTTTTGGGATGTATGGTAGGTCGGTGTATTTTCTTTCTTTGTGGATATCGATCTGTCTAATTATGTAGTCTAATAAATATATATTCCAAAGTTCAGCGCATTGGTTCATGTGTACATTGTGCGATTCTGGAAGGAGAGAGGCATTATAGTTTCTGTTGCAGTGAATCCTCTAGCTTTTTCAATACAATGTCAAATTTGCGTGGCTTCTGAGCTTTCTATGATTAACTCTGCATGGAATAAGAAAAGACAGAAATTTACATACATGAAAAAAAAAAAAATATAAAAGAAGAATAGTTACCATATCCATGTGATTCAACTTAATAGATGTTAAAAGCCCATGACCTGGGTCTGATTTTGATGCATCTCCATACAGGTCAATGTGGACCCATCTCTGAAATTTGATTACAACAAATTCATTCTGCCATTAAAATAGGAAATGTTTCTGAGCCTACTACTGTTCCTTTCTCCGGAGGGGCTGTAACTATGTTGAGATGCCATGCATCCCTTCTCTCTATTTGTCTTCTCTTGGTCATGGAAATGTTCCTCTTTCTCCTTTTTCGCTACCTCTATTTCCTGGTGGGTTTATGCTGGGAATTTCTGTTTTTGGGCACGAGTTTTTTTGGTAGATCACACATTAAAGTCGTAAGAAATGCTCCTCTTTTTCTTGCCTGCATGACATGCTGCCTTCAGGAAGCAGGGTGGCGTGTAAAAGTTTTCATGTCCATTGTAAGAAAACCGCGAATTAATTTATTAAGTATGGATAGGAAATGAGGGGAAGCGCTATTATAAAACGATTTTATAGATCCCTTTGATATTCTTCAAGGGAAATTTTTACGTTACAATCATTTTTATTTTGTGGTATTTAAAAGTGATCTTATGTAAGTTGAAGTTTAAGCTTAAGTCCTTTTATAGAAGCATTTTTTTTATTAGCCAACTTCCCTCATTTGGATATTCAATATCTGAATTCATGTATTGCTTTTTAATAAGAAATGGTTCAAACATCCAACGTCTTTTGAAAAATTATTGAAATATTGAAATGCGCATAAGAAAAATTATTGAAATACCCATAAGAAAATATTGTCCTTCCTTTTTAGAAAAATTATTGAAATACCCATAAGAAATCAACAATTTAACATTTAGCATGTCTTTTTTTTTAATTGCAAAATACCCATGAAATAATAAATGATCTTAAGTTGGAATAGTGGCACGAGGTAAACTGTTCACTAAGTCATCTCTTATATATAAGATCTTTAATTGAAAAATTGTTAGGACATGCAGTGTTTTAAACTTGTGGAGTGAAAAGCAGTTTGAACATTGGATGAGGGTTTCAATTTTTTGAGTGAAAAGGCTGGTTTAAACATTAGACATCCGGTCTTTTTACTCTGGAAAAAAAGGAAAAAAAAGAAAAAGAAAAGAGAATCTTAGAAACTCGTCCAATGTCCAAATGTGCAGACATTGGACTAGTGTGTTTACTCAAAAAATCGGTTGGAGATCCAATATCCAAACTGTTTATTCACTTTAAAAAAAGGACCTGGTTTCTATGAATCCATGTAGAAATGAGGCACATCATATAAATCTATTTTTGAGATGGATTTTTAGACTTAATTTTTAAGGATATATAATCTATAACATGCAAATCATGGATATGAATAGATAAGTAAATTTTAAAAATTAGAAATAATTATATCAAGAAAACATTTAGATTGTTAGTTTCAATTGTTTTTAGATGGACCACCTATTTGCATTCATTTTTAAGATAAGATGCTTTATACCTCGGAACCGCATAGTTAGAAATGCGATCTAGCCCACATGAAACGATTTTCCTAAAAAACAAGACAACAATTCGGAAATTGAATATATGGACCCATTTTTCATTTAAAGAGGAAAAACACTAGTTTGTACATCAAATGTTCGAATCAGCGGTAATTCAGGAGTAAAGAACGAAAAAAGAAGAAGACTTGAGCATAAAATAAAACTCATGCATAACTATTTTTAAATAGCGTATAAGAAAAGGAATTTGACATAAATGTTTTTTATTTTCTATTGACAAGCTTTCTATGCTTCCCCTACAACATAAAACTTATATACTTCCTCTAATTTAACCGTCCATTATGAATGGAGGGCTAAGATTGTCCCAATCACAATGTCACATCTCGATACTATTTTATTTTTAATTTTTTCTATAAACTATTTTGACAACAAATTTTGTACGTCCAATCTTCTATTAAACTCGCACTAGCGAAAAATATAAAAAAATATTTTCAATTAAATAAAATGACCAAAATACCTATGAAAGTTTCAAGAGGTATTTTGGTCATTATATTTTATCAAAAAATTATTTTTAATATTTTTTTATTGGTGCGTCCCATTGAGAAGATGACACATACCAAATTTCATATTCATACAATTTGTATAAAAAACTAAAAATAAAATACTTTGAAACGTCAGATCTAAGATCAAACGGTGAATGGCTCTCTTGATCAAAATTAGACGGTTGGATGATAGGAGAAGCATAGATCTTCTATGCAGTAGGAGAAGTACATAAACCTTTTCCTTTTCTATAAGGGACTTTTATAGCACAAATGTTTACTACTGCCATCTACCACTTTAAAATCCCATCTAGTTACAAAACTAGCTTCTGTATCGAAATCTGGAACGGTTTGGGAAATAAACGTTCAATTCTACTTTTCTTTCTAACTTCATTATGGAAACCAAGAAAAATAATAAACAATTTTGCCACGATTAGTTGCTTTTAACCTCAAGGCACGTAGGATGATTTACCTTTGGTAGTTGGAGCTCACGGTTGTTCTTCGTGTCAAAGTCCATTGATAAGTGTCACAAAGTTTGAAAAGTTCATATTTAATATTGGTAATAGCACACTTCTAGCTTCCTATTTCTTCAATTATATTGCTTCTTATTTCTTCTATCATATTGTATACAATGAGGCCATTTACCTTTTAATATAAGAAGGTCACAGGTACTTACATATGATGTAAACTCTGATACCTTGGGTGTGTTACAAAGATCGAGAAAATTCTTTTGAAGTTTGAACTTGATCAATGGAATATATATACATAAACTCTTTTTATCAAAGACAAAATGGTTGTATTGCCTTCTTTCCCTAACATACGGTTTTCTTTTCTCCTCTCACAAAAGCTTCACGCTTGCTAGTTGCCCTTTCTCTCTCTAGATCCCTCTTATTTTTAACATTTTCCTATTTGATTGAATTATTGATGTGTATATGACACTTTGTTTTTGGGTAATTCAGAGCCCTTACCCGTTTTTCAAATCGTTATTTGATGTGTATATGACTCAATGTTATTTAGATGCACTTAACTGAAAATTTTGTAAATTGAGCACAAGTTCTGCCCGAAATCCCTCCCTTTTATTATCAATATTTAGCATCTTTTTGACTATTTGTTCTGGGACTCTATGGCGCAATATTTAGTTAATTTCTCACCATCTTTTGACTTGTTTTAATTTTATAAAAAAGTTTCATGCCAAGCTCTCGCAAAATCACGTGTTTACACTATTAAGTCATCGAGTCTTGAAAGTTCATGTATTTATGACTTGTTATCCAATGATATGATGGATTGCATATAATTTTATCGAAGAGTAATTCAAATTTTCTCTTTTTTGGAAGTTTTATAGTGTGATTCTCACCCGATTTTCAGAAATTTTATATTACTCTTCCTTTCCGGATAGCTAGATATATATTAATTTCTAGAAAACCAATCATATTTGATCTTTGATTTCACAAGACTATTCTTATTTTTTGTTAAAAAGATGGGGATATTTATCTTCTAATTTTACTTAAACTTATTCAAGTCTTTTTATCTAGCATAACACTCTCTCTCTTGTTTGAATTTTCATGGTTACTTTCATTAAGAGAGGGAGCCAAGCTCCAAGTTACAAAACGAGGAGGAAATAGAGGATACATCTTTCTACTCCAAAATGACCTATTCTAAGCCAACAAAACACCTACAACCCTTTACGTTGACGGACTCTAAAACACCAGCTAATTAAGGACCCTAATTAAGCGAAAACAAAGTAGTTTCCATGGGCGACAAACTCTTTGATCTCTTCCACTCGATCCAAACCTATAGCCATAACCCTCAATGAGAACATCTCTTTATTAATAACCTCATGAACAGGGGTTGAGACAACGTGTGAACCCACACTAGACTGGAGGTGCCCATATGAAGATCAGTAAGAACCTAAAGGCATAGCTGTGGGGGTTGGGGCACAACCAGTGTCGATTGTAGGGTTTGTAATGGATAGGAAAGAGTTGGAAGAGTGAAAAGACTAAAAAGAAGGGAGACTGGAGAAAGGCCCATAGAACTTAGATGGGAATCAAGAACTAGTGAAAAAGGAGACCACATTTATCCAAGTTTCTTGAAAAAAGAATCCGGCCACGCACAAGGAGGTCAAATTCCCAAAACATCAAACTCCACGACCGGGTTCCCATAGGTCTACAACAAATCAATACTCATCTTAAGTATTAGCCTATCATGGCATGATACAATGACATGATGCTAGAACCTCTAGGGAGGGTAAACCCTATCTTAGGCATTAACTTAATTAGGAAAATTAAGAGCTGGGATAGAGGCCAAAGAGCCGAAAGCAAAGGAAAATATCAAAGACAAAAAGCAAAAGGTAGGGACGATAGATGTGGAGTTAAGGGTCAAAGGAGGAACAATGAATGAAGGTGGGAGGAGGGATGAGAGAATCCCCCCTCCCTCCCTCCCTCCCTCCTTCCAAACTAACTCTCTCTGTTCTAAGAAAAAGGAGCAGAGAAAACAACAAAACGATCGGAAAACAGAGAAACAGTAAGAGAGTTAAGAAGGGTGACACCAAGAGGTGGAGCACAAAGAGAAATATAGCAGTAGAGGAAAAGGAAAAAGCGGCCTAGAGAGGAGGGGGAAAAAAAATATCTAGTGAGTTGGAGGAAGGACGAGGGGTAGAGAGAGGCTATGAAGCACTAGAGCTAAGAGAAAGATATAAGGAGAGTGGTGTACAAAGAAAAAAGAGATCTAAGAGAAGAGGGAGGTAACATAGTCTAATGGGGAAGGAAGAAAGGGAGGCAAAGGTGTCTCGATTTAGCAGTT